TCCCTCGGCCCTTAAAGGGGAAAGGTTGCCTACCCCTGTTCTATAGTCTTCTTTTAATCTTTGTTCCACCTCTCTCGCCTTGGTTATATTGTCTATCTTTATTCTTTTTTAGTTGTATAGAAAGGAAAGTCCTTCAATTCTGTCCTATTTAAAATTAATGTTTACATTCTTTAACAGTTGTACCAAACTCTTGCATTTGTTTCTCTCCAACATTATTTGTGGCGGTATATCTTTAAAGATTTTTTTGATAGAGATGGCTAAATGTCTCAGAAAACTACAATTCCCAGAATTCCCTAGCATTGAGCCAGGGCAGTTAAAGCAGTCTCAAACTGAATTATTTCTACAGTGTGTTTTGGATCTTAGTTTTAAACCCAATGGGCCAAGCGTACATGAAAAAGCACCCTTCTCTTTCTCTGTGTTGGATTCTCAGTCTGCATCACTTTCATGCTTGCCGACTGCACCTGCTGGTGTTTATTATAATTATCCCTAATTAAATTATTGATGCTTATTTATTATGCATTATATTTATGATGAACAATGAAGCTGATGCGAATGCCCCAGGTTCAGAAATGGTGCAAGAAAAACAGAAATGTGGAAACTTGGAGAGAGATGTAAAGTTTGGATTCAGATTCAGAGGCTGCTGATCATCAAAGCCTTTGGCAATGCAAGCCGACTTTGAAAAGAGTGGAAATTCTTTGAGGATCACAGAGATTGGGAAAATAATATCCCAACAGATTTCTGCTGCAGTCTCTGAATATCAGCTATATGGTGTGGACATATATTGTTGAACAAAACAGCTCACCAAACAATACTAAGCTTACCAACTGAAGCTGGCATATCAGTGGGTCTGGGTTTCAGCCTGAACTTGAAACAAATGATAGTAGAGGCTGAATCTTCTCCACCAAATAAGTTCAGCACTTTAGAAATCCCTTTTAAAGTTCAGGCTAAAATTCAGAGCAGATTCACAACCCCACTAGCTTGCAATGGAGGACTGAGCGATGGATTTTAGAGTGGATTCTCAACTCATGGGCAAAGGTTAGAAAGAATGCATTAAGAACTAATTCCTTACCTCTACTGTTGTTAAACCTTTCAACAACAACTCTAAAATCCATTGTTTTAATTCTTCAATGCCAACAGTATTTTTTTGGTAACAATCGGCATGTCCAATTATTTTGTTACTGGCTGTTGAAAGCACACAACAACCACAGCAAGGCTATTGCACTTTGTACAGATCATGAGTTAACAGGACTCAAGGTGCATCTACATTGTAGAAATAATGCAGTTTGACACCACTTTAAGTGCTGTTGCTACATGCTATGGAATCCTGGAATTTGTGGTTTTACAAGGTCTTTCGCCTTCTCTGCCAAAGAACACTGGTGCCTCACCAAACTACAAATCCCAGGATTGTGTAGGATGGAGCCATGGCAGTTGAAGTGGTGACAAACTGCATTATTGCTGCAGTGTAGAGGCGCTCTCATTGGAAGGGAAGATAATGCTTGATGAAGTAGAAGGCAGTAAGAAAAGAAGAAAACCACATTAGAGGTAGATGGGATTCTAACAAGGAAACCACAACGGCTGCTTTCAATTTGCAAGACCTGAGCTGTTGACAACCAGGGCTCTTGGAGACCTCTCATTCATAGGATTTTCGTAAGTTGAAGTTGACTTGACAGCAAATAACAACACAACCATGCAGTATGTTTCACTGTTTTCCCCCAAAGGGGCTCAAGCACTTTGGGATCGCTCTCTTTAAACTTTGGACTAAAATACAGAGCGGATTTACCAGCCACCACAGCTTCTGAATCACGCTTCTTTCTTTGCACATCCCAAGCAACCTCCGCTTTTTCAGAACTTCATATCATTTCAGATTTGCTAATACACTTAACACCCACATCTGAAAACAGACAGCAAAAGAAGGGGAGAGAATAACTACCTCCATTTTAAACCTGCTTTGATTAAACTTTGGGATCTAGTTGCCAAGGAACGACAGCAGTTGTCAGGGCTGCTTCATTTGGATGTGAAACTTAAACTACCAGCAGTGGCATTCAAAAAACAAAACATGCCCCCAATTTGCAGCCACCACTGTTGCCTTTGACAGGGGTGTGTTAGACTGCCGTTTGCCAGGCAGTCCTCCTCCTCCTCCTCTGTTTCAAGGAAATGATGCTTGTAACACACCATCCTTCAAAGAAAAACAGGGAGAGGGAAGCAATTTCCCATCTCTTTGTTTGCTTCCAGCTTGAACATGGCTAACAACTGCTCCTTAGAAGCTGCTGAGTTTGGACATTACTTTTATGAAAAATAAAGATACAGGCTGGATTCCTTTTGGCCTCCTGCATGACTGATTGATGGGGTGTAATCTAATTGTGACTAATTAATAGAAATCTAGCCAAGCAGCCACATCCTACATCCCACATTCCAGCCACATTCTTGGATGATGCATTCTTGGATCTTTTTCAGTGCCTTCCATCCACCACTCCATTGACTAGGATTGCAGAAAATAGCCATCATGCATTAATCCCAGGAGATCAATGGCAGGAACATTGGCAGATGCATCATGGATTGCACAATATCCAGTACAAAGACGGCATAGTGCAAACACTGTGTAACGCCTGAGCTGTAATTTACAAGTCCAAAGTATCCTGGGCCATAGATCTTGGCCAATGGCAGGTCCAAAGCCATCTATATGACCACAGTGGTCAGTCACAGTTGGCTTCAGCATACCATCATATTTGGCCGGCTCCTTTAACTTTGAGTCACAAATCTTGCCACAGAGGAATCAGAGCTAGAAAGGTCTCTGGCTCCAGATGATAGTTTCCTTCCAAAATCTGGGTGCCTAATGGCAGTTCCAGTTGATGAGGATCTTCAGGAATATGGGGCCCCACCTCAGTTTCAACTCAGGGATTTGATCCATTATTTGATGCATGTCAAAAAGAAAAGCACCGAAGAAGCTTAAATGAGAAACGCTAAGCAATTAGCCACCGGTATCTCAAGGTCAGGCAGCTACAAATGTCCCAGCAAAAGCTGGGAATTGTTGTAATATGCAATGATTCTTCTGCCTCCTGATCTTGGATTTGTTTCGGTTTTTGACCCCAGGACTGGCTTAAGTGTTCTTATCTTTCCCTTTTGGCTTTGATTATTGATTTTGGAACGGCTAAGCCTTGCTACTGCAACTCTCTTTCATTCTGGTGAATTCCCTAAATGATTTTTGTATGACCTGAACTGGCTTGACTCCCTGTAACTGTTTTCCTCAATTATAGGCTGCCTTTCCTGACATCTGTCACCTCTAGGCATAAAACTGTCTGGACTAAAACCTGGATCACCATCCCACTGACATGGAAATGACCAGCCACCACTGGATATGATCAGCTCTTCTCCCAGAATCAAAAGATTTCTTTGTAACGTTCATCTGTGCATCTCCTTTGTCCTATTTGTCATGGAGCTGTGTACTTGGGCTGCAAATTAATGAGCACAAATGAAGGTGGATCAAAGTTCACAGAGCTTGAAAATCCTCACTATTCAGGAAGATGAACTGCAGATGAATTATTTACTGTGGAAAGTTATCTGGGAATCCCCAGGGATGGCTGGCTGCAGCTGGGTCAACAATGAACTTCTCTCACCATTTTGGTTCTTCAGAAATTTTTTAAAAAGAGCTGGAGAATCCAAAAAGTTTCAGGAGTGGGAATGGGCAGAAGGGATCTGACCAAGTCAAAACAAGTGAAGTGAATGCAGAAAAGGAGCTGCAGACTAGTCTATGCACTTTTAAAAATTGCTTAATTTTAAAAAAAAACAGAGCTTGGAAGTAATTAGTTACAAATTAGGCAGTGATTAATACTTCCAAATTGTAACTAATTCAAAATTACTTCCGGTTGATGGAGTTACTTTTAATTAGCACATTCTGTTCTCCTTGTTAAGGTTAATGCTGTGACCATGCCTTCAAAGTGAATCTTGTTTTTAACTGCCCTTGAGTTGATCTCGACCCATGGTGACCCTCTGGATGAGACATCTCCAAGAAGACCCCTTGTCCTCCACTGCTCTGCTTAAATCCTGCAAACCATAGCCATGACTTCCTTAATAGAGTCCATCCATCTGGCATGTGGCTTTCTTCTCTTCCTACTTCTCTCCACTTTTCCCAGCATTAATGTCTTTTCCAAAGAGTCCTCTCTTCTCTTGATGTGTCCAAAGTATGACAGCCTCAGTTTGGTCCTCTTGGCTTCTAGGGATCTCTCTGGTTTGATCTGCTCTAGGACCCCTTTGTTTGTCCTTTTGGCTCTCCATGAGATCCTCAGCACTCTTGCTGATTTTCTTTTGGAATTAGTATGGAGTATGAGTATGGAGTAGGACGTTACTCTGGAGTGTGGCAATCCTATCATAGAGTCTTCCTGGCAAGATTTATTCAGAGAAGGTTTACCATTGCCTTCTTCTGAGACTGAGAGATTATGGTTTGTTCAAAGTGACTCATTGGATTTCCTTGGCTGGATGGGAATTCGAACTCCATTCTCCCAGTGTCCTGGTCCAACAGTCAAACAACTACACCTGGCTGGCTCTTCTACAAAAGGTACAGGAGGCCAAAACTGGCCCCTGGATTGTCAGAGTTTTCCTGTTTTAGGGTATGTTTTTCTCTCTCTCTCTCTTTCTCTCTCTCTCTCTGTATAAAAACTGATAAGCAAATGTGTCCTCATTTGTCCTTTTCAATGATGCCTGAATGTGTTTGTCCAACACTCAGCAAACAAGTTTCCTGACCTCAGATTTGTTGGCTTCTATATGCAAAATTAAAGTGGCCACTATCATTGTTGCATGCCTTCAAGTCACTTCTGACTTATGGCTAACCTAAAGTAACCCTATCACAGGGTTTTCTTGCCAAGTTTGCCACTGCCATCCTCTGAGGCTGAGAGAGTGTGACTTGCCCAGGGTCACCTGGTAGGTTTCACGGCTGAGCTGGGATTTGAACCCTGTTCTCCAGAGTCATAGTCCAATGCTCAAACCACTAAGCCACATTAGGTCTCATAGCGGTCGCTACGTAGTCCTTTACCTCCAGTAGCACAATGCCTTGGGATGGTCCTGGGATCAGAGTTTAAAAGCACAGAGGAAACCAACCCTCTTTTCAGTTGCAAAATATTAAAAGGGTGTAGGGTCGGTGGACATGACTCCATCTCTGCCCAGCCAGGGGCTTTGGCATGGATCTCAAGATGCAAATGTAGTCTTGGCAACTGAGAGCGATCTCCTGTCCATAGGAATATCATTATAGCCTAATTCATCTCGACTTCTCAAGGGCACATAATGCCAGACAGATGATGTAATCCCACACTGTTCAGTATGCAAGGAAATATCGATGGAACTAAGTTTTGAAAAACGACAACCATTAAAATACAAGTTCTGGAGTTGGTTTTTGCTTTTCAAAATCAGGCTCAGCGCAACCAGAATGGGATATTTTCAGGAAAAGAACCCAAACTTGTGCAGATAATTCTGTTTCAGTCTTCCCCCGTCCCAACCTCTTTTGACCAAATTGTAAAACCATGCATGCAGTTTGCCCATAGAAAGCAGCCAAGGCCTATGCTAATAAATGACACAATGACTTTTCCCCCCTCTTGCTAGGAGTTAATCTCCGATGATTGACAGAATCTTTTGTTAGCACTCATGGAAAGGCAAATAGATGGAGGCAGAGCGGAGAGAACAGCCAAAATAAAAGAAAAATTAAAAGAAAAAACCAAACCCTACCTTGCAAGGGTACTTCAGCAATTCTTTGAATAAAACTCTTCATCTTAGTGGCTGCTAATTCTCAAAAGATTCCCCTTGAAATGAAATGGAGTCGCAAAGGTGTAACTCAGAAATACAGGCAAGAATTGCAGTGGTTCAGACACCAACTGGTTTACTGAGACACAAAGGACGGACTAAGAGGGCAGATCTGTCTTCCTGTGAGATGCAGAAATCAGCAATCAATGGCCTGCCTATTCAAGAACAAAATATTGTGTGAACATTCACAGAATCACAGAATTGGAAGAGACCTCAAGGGCCATCCAATCCAACT